TGTGTGTGTGTGTGTGTGTGTGTGTGTGTGTGTGTGTGTGTTTATTTGTTATTGTTTGTTAAAAAATGGCATCACAATGTACATTTTCTATCATTTGATTCACCATTTGAGTTGATTCACCATTTGAGTAACGAATCTGCATAGCACAGCGCTTAGACCCTTCTGGGGGAAGGGGAAGAGGGGCTGTCGTGGTCTAGAGGTTACGGTGTTCGCCTTTCATTCAATTGGTCCAGGGTTCGAAACCAGATAGCGACGGAAATTTTCCTCACCATTCTTTCCCCTTTCACCCCCTTTCACACACACATAAACATATACACACATATACATTGAAAAAAGACGTTGCTTGCTGTCGTTGATCATCCCTTGAACAAGGAGTCAAGTGTCTGGCTCCAGGACAACGATAATCCATGTGAGATCGGTGATCACTCCGGACTGTGGGAGTTCCCAAAGGGAATGGGGAACCTTCCTCCCTCCTCTCCCCAATAAAACAACAACAAAAACAATAACATCATCCCCATCACCAGCGGCAGCATTTGCAGAACCACTCTCACCACCACAATCACCCCACAATCCTACCTCAACAAAGAGACAATGAAAAAACCAACACAATTTTGTGGTAAGCATCGCTTGACAGGGCCCGTCAGAAGTTTCCCTAACATTTAACCATTCGTGTGTAAATGCGTGTATTTATGATGATGTCAACATTTGCACACTCAGCTCCTTTCAGCGTGGACCGGATCCCTGTCAAAATACATGCACTGGCTATATTGTACACGAATGTTACTGCCAGATGGTTATCTTCGAGTCGAGTCAAAGTCTTCTTTCTTTCTATTTACGCAATTATCGCACCCGTAAAACAGAAATTGACCCTCCCTCCCCATGCAATACGCTCAGTGTTTACAAAGACCTTATATGTACATTTTGTAGGTGCTTTTTCACATACTCTATAACGCACTCAGTTTTAACCAAGACCTTAATTAATGAGTACATTTTGTCGAGGCCTTTCAGTTTCAGTAGGTAGCTTTAGAATTTATGTCGGGTTCACACCTCAACGATGTCTATCTGAATGTTATATACAAATTCAAACCTGGCTCACAGCTAATAGCTCTGTGATGGCTGTGTAAGAATCCAAACCAGGTTCACAACTCAACGAAATCTCCCAAGGCTTAAAGCGAGGTGACAATTGACGCCACAGTTGACTTCGGGTTTACAACTCAGCGATGTCTTTAAGGTTTTTTTTTGTCAAAGTACAGACACAGTTAGTTGTCAGCGAAGCATCTACCACAATGGCTGTGTTAGAATCCAAACCAGGTTCATAACTGAACAATTCCATTTAGCAAGCTGCGTCCCAGTTTCACTTGGGCTCACAGCTTGTCTAGCGTCGGCCTCATCTCCAGGATGCAGACGGTGGAGACGAGCGTGAGTAGGAAGAAAAAGGCAAAGAGCATACGGTCGAGCACATAGGCCACATGATGCCACTCCTGGAACACTTCCTCGTCCCGCATCTCCTCGTTGCGCTGGGTGTGAATGAGGCCGATGAGATGGCGGACTACAAGGTTATGTTTCCCTCCGCCCACGTCCTCTCTCGTGTCCCAATCGTCCCTGGAGGGCGGGAGTCTACTGTCTTCGTCGCGTGCCCCACTATGCACGTCCCCAGACCCGCCCCCACTGCCTGGGCCTTTATTCCCCGTGGCAGGTGTGTAAGTGTAGTCATAATAATGGTTGTTTAATGACCCCTTTTGAAGTTTGTTCACATCCACTCTATCGGGATTCGAACCACCGCTCCCTGGTCTAGGGTCCATTCTCAAGTACTCGCACTCCTCGCCGCCACTTGCAACACGGCTGCCTCCTGTCCGGAAGAATGAATCCTTCCCACAACCGCCCTGGCGCGGGCCTCGCTTTCGGGGCGAGGCAGTGACACCATCGTCAGGGCGACGGATGCAGAAGAGAGGGGAGATAATGCTGAAGCAGAAACGACGTAGCCACAAGGGGGGACGACTCGGCCGGCCTCGCTGGTGGTGGATGCTGAGGACGAGGACGGAGGAGAGCACAGACAGGCAACTGGTGGCGAGGACAACCATCAGATAGATACCTGTCTCGATGAGAGGAGTGGGGGAGGAGAAACAGCCGATAGAGAGAAAAAGGTGGGGACGGGGGCAGAAAAAGGGGTGAGGGAGGGATAGAGCAAGAGACATCGGGAAGGGCGGGGTGGGGGGTGGGGGGCGAAATGCTTATTAAAAGCAGGCGTGGAAGAAAAAAAGACATACCAGGGAGTTGGAGGGGACCCGGTCGGGGGGGGGGGGGGGGCGTGTGTAATAATGGCGTCCAGGGTGAGGGGTGGGGGGTTGTGTAGAGAACGGGGAGGAAAAGGGGAGACAAAGGAGGGGTGTGGTGGGGAAAGGAGGATTAAAAATTGACTAATTTTGCACGCCGACCGGAGTTAGCTCAGTTGGTATTATCTTTGGGCTCAGAGGTTGAGGTTCGAGCATTTATATATAGCATTATCGTGTTGAAAGGGATCTTTAGATTCCAAATGTACATCGGTCTACTAGACACAAATATTTTCTCTAGAACTGAGAGTTCTGACTTGGAAGAAAGAGTAATGGAAAAAGTAGAAAAACAACAACAACCGAAAGCAGGTAGAGATGAAACACCAAAGGAAGTATCAAATACGGAGTCTTTACGAGAATAGCTGACCCAGAACAGATAACCCAATTCGCCGGTCATATAATATTGCCTTACACGAAAGCTATAAACTTTAACCTATGACCGACATCGGTAGTGAAATAGTAAGGCTCTTCACCGTTACACACAAAAGAAGTGAATTTGATCTCAAAGTGAAGAAGTTTGTTTAACTAAACCAAGCCTCGTCAACTATCCTACTTATTCCAGTTCAAGTGTAAGGAAAACATCAACACGATGATAGACCTTTCGTGCTAGGAAAACGTAAGCTATAATGATATAGACTGAAACAATAAAGGCACTTTACACAAATTTTCCTCACTTCACCCAGGTGGGAACTGGTACCCAGCTATAGAAAGCGAAAGATCTTGTCAGTTTGTTAGAGTTTGGGCGCTTAATCAGTTGCTTGCACTGTATCCTTCCCGGGAAGCTGAGAATGTTTCTGAGTGTTATAATATGGTCTGCTGGGGTAGTAATATAGTGCAAAGTGCATAGAACTTGCTGCTGAGCAGGGTATGCGCTGTAAAATGCTATTTATTATTATTAAATAATTATTAAGATAAGACACCCACAAGCCACCATTACAAGGGACATAACTTAAATTACTGATATTGTTATTTTCCTGATTATGTACCTTCACTCTTCGCCCAACGGTGCTGCTGAATAATAACAATAATGCAATATTTTGTACTTAGCTCGTTGCGAGACAATGAAAAACGCCCTTGTTTGCCTTAAAGGAAAAGATTAAACCATATCACAATTGAAAGAAAATAGAAAGGACAGGCTACACAGTTGCTTTCTCATGCTGGGAAAAGTGCGCTGCAAAAGCAATAAAAGGTTGTTACTTTATTCCCTGCTCAATCATTCTGTTGATTCTCTTCGATTTTTATTTCGACGTCTTCTTCGGCGATATTTTACTCATTGAAGTCATTATTTCAAATATGTTATGCTGTTATCCTTTTTGTTCTCGTCTCTATTATCACTATCTCCATCGACAAAGGCATCGCAACTTTCTCCGTCCTCTTTACTCACCTACTAGGTTCAGTTCCAACCTTTTTCCTGTTCTTCCGCCTCCTACTCCTCTTCCTCACCCCCTCCCCCTCCTGTCATTTTCCTCCTTTCCACTTCCTCCCCTTCTCCTCTTCTCCCTCCTCCTCCGCCTCCTTCTCCTCCCCCCTCCATCACCTCTTCCTCCTCCTCTTCCTCCTCCTCCTCCTTCTCCTCCTTCTCCTCCTCCATCTCCTCTTCTTCCTCTTGGTCCTCTTTCTCTTTAAGATAAGACAGCGATACGTCTATAAAGACATCAACTTGGCACGACATTTTGGCAACAACGTAACGACAACTGAGAAGACAACACATTAAAGAAAGTTACAACAACAATACCCCAAAAAGCACAACAAAGAGGCAAAATAACTACGGAACTCCTTAAAACATGAATGATACCTGCAATAACTTAAGAACAAGAATGTGTGTCTCGATGACATGGGCAAGCGTTAATCAGAATCCTCAACCAGACACACCATGCCCCCAAAACACAACTGATGACACAATGCGCACGCACGGGTCACGTAGATAGACTCAGTACAAACTCTGATGGTGAGGCGGACACGTACACACATATATAATACACATTCTTAAGCACACACACACACACACACACACACACACACACACACACACACACACACAAACACACACACAGTCAAGAGATCTAAGCTTTTTGTCATTAGGCGGAAAATATAGTTCAACTGCGAGTATTTTCTTTTTTCTAAGGTTCTGTTACCTGCACACTATCTTGCTCATTCGTATGTATGGCCATGTCCCTCTCATCTGACCTGATAGTTTCCATTTTAACGCCAACGAAAGGTAGTTGATTAAATTGAGCATGAAGTCCCCCAAAGCGTGTATCGCTCTTTGAATGTCTTCGATGTGTTGTTATTTAATTTTGTATTTACACCGATCGCGCTACAGTCTCAATGGAGTTCTGATGACCCACTTGCCGCTCTTGCATCAAACAGCCAACAATGCCTTGCAGTTGTGAACACTGGTCAATGCGAATGACGGGGAAGGGGGATAATCCCAACAAAGACCGTTTCTGTGTTGTTTCATACCTATGGAGACGGTAACAGTGGATTTTTATTCATCTTGAACTACAGCACGGACGGTCTTACAAAATTGCAAGCAACAGAAACAACAACTGCGCAAAATAAACAAAACCCTCAGCTATAATCATTCCTTGGGCTGAAGCTAAGGAGGCTTTTGATTGGCCGTGGCAGGGATGAAGGGAGGAGCAACTAGGGAATATAAAGCCGCAGAGCCGGACATCCTCCAGTTCACTGTGTTGCTTATGGAGTGAAAGGACTTTGCTGTATTGGGTTACATGAGTACCATTTTTTTCATATCTCTTCTATATTTTCAAGTATGGAAAGTGTAGCAGTTCGTGTAGTGAAGTTCATTTCTGGTGACCTTTGGTCATCCGTGAAGTTGAGGCCAGTGAGCGTTCTGTGCCAGAAGACGATCACACCCGTTCAAGTGTTGGAAGTGACAATGGAAGACGACGACTTCATTCGCAAGGCCATCAAGGAAGATTGGTCTCACCGACTGCCACGGCCGCGACAGCTGGCATGAGATTTTCAAGGAAATCAGCTCCATGGGCAGCGTCTCGCACCCGCACGTTCATGAAGATAGGCTTGGCGGTGAAGTGCACAGGCTTTGTTGCTATCTGCATACATCTGTATTCTCGATGATCGTTGTATATGATGCGTGTCACCGTCTAGAAAGGCAGCAGATAGGGCGCTGTTTCATGCAGAGCGCTGTGCACGTTGACGTAAAGCTCGCCAACATCTTCCTGGAGGAATCCAACAACGTTACTCTCAGCGACCTGGGGATGTCCCACTACTTGGCTCACGTACAAGACAGGGTGGGAAACTAGAGTATACTTGGAACAAGAGCTACCTCGTCCCAGAGATTCAGTGTGACGTCAACGCAGAAGATGTTCTGGTGAATGACTTCACTTTTCTTGGTATTTTTTATTATTATTTTTTTAAATAAGTGTTTTATGACGCTGGCAACTGCATACGGTCATATGAGCGCGCGGGACACACCTAATAATATTTTCAGTTGGTAGGAAATTTTGAATTTTGCCCGGGTGGCGGCCGAAGCCTACTCTTATCGATTTTAGACCACCAAGGGATCTTTAACGTGCGCAACTTTGCACACGGGTCCTCCGAGATTTTTCGCCCTTGTCCGAGAAGGCTAGGTGTAGATCTTTCCTACCAGAAGATCAGGGGTGTGGCTGAAATACAGCAGTAGGAAGCAGCCAAGTAGTAGCAGTAGAAAGGCTGCAGAAAGAGTCAGGAGCCCAGAGGAGGGGGCGAAGGAGGTGAGGGGGTGGGGGCAGAAAGAGGAGACGAAAGCAGACGACAGAACATTGCTAGAGAGCAGAAAAAGAGGTGAAAGAAGACAATTTTAGAGAAGAAGATTTTTCGGTCGCAACCCGGATTCGAACCCGGGACCTTTGAATCAGAGGCCAACACCTTAACCTCTAGGCCACGAGAGCCCCCAATTTTTCTTGTTTGTTTACGATTTTGGATGTTCGTTCAGATTTCCGTTGTTTTGCAAGCTCGCTTGTTTGTTTGTTTGTTTGTTTTTTGTTCGTTTGTCTGTTTATTTGTTTTTGTTTTGAGATTGTTGTTGTTGTTAATAATGTCATTGCTGTTGTTGGTGTTGTTGTTGTTAGTATTGTTTTTGTTTAAAAGTTGTTAGCTTGCTGTTCTTTTTTTATCAGGCTATATGCATGGTTTTCTTATTTTTTGTTCGTCTGTTGTGATTTTGTTTGCTCCTGTTTGCTGCTATGCTCACAGTTTATCTCTTCGTTTTTTTGTTTTGCTTTTGTTTTTGTATGTTCTTCTTTCTGCGTGCTGCATGAATGTGTTTTTACTGAAGCAACATGCTTCGTAGCATTAATTTGTTCTCTCTTGACAAACGCAGTCAACGAGGACTTGCACATTTCGCTGGTGAGCAGTTACCCTAGAAACCTCTGTGGGGGGGGGGGTGTGGATGCTACCTACAAAGTGGACTCTGCATTTTCTCTATTTAACTTTACTAACCCAGTTGTCTTACAGTAACGTAACTAAAAAGCTAAGGTTCTATTTAACACATATGATTTTTTTCTCCTTTGCTCTTGTCTATGTTTCCATTGATGCCTTACTAACAAGCCGTAATTATTCCAACCACTGTGGGGCAGTGCTTGGACTAGTCGGCACCGGTTTTTTGTGTGTTTGTTTGTTTGTTGTTTCAATAACTATTTCTTAATTAATGGCCATTACTAATTGTGAATTGTAGCTCTAACTTACTCTAGTTATCGAAATGTAATGATTTTAACATCTAATTCATTGAC